TCCGATACGTAGCGATGCTGGCAGAAGCGTGTACAGTATGAGCCAATCCGTGGCAGTAATGACAGAGCATGCGCTGTTACGCAAAAACCGCAATAGAGTGAAGCCGCGGAAGTCGAAGCGTGAAGTGGCGAGGGTTCACTGTACATACCAACAAGACATCAAAAAAGCAGTAACAACAAGGTGCCTGTGTACGAGGGCTCTAGAAGGAAAGGAGCAAGGAGAAACAAAAGATGAAGGCTTTCTGTAGCCTGTGTGGTTATTATAAAGTCACAGAAAGAAACACTTGAGATTATGTTCTTAGATCTTTATCCCTCAGTTATGACATATTATACTTTCTAGCAATGAATGTTTTCAAAGGGCATTGGTTAAATATTCAGATGTCATTAAATCAGATTTGTAATATATAATAGGCATTTTTGTTGTTGTTGTTGATCTTAAGCACTGCAGCAGCACCTGGCAGACATTAATGTGGATGGACCAGAAAATGGATATGGCCACTGGATTGCAAGTACTTCAGGCTCAAGGAGTAGTATCAATTCTTCTGTTGATGTAAGTGTGTGGGTAGGATGTGTGACTAGATTTAGATAAATGCCTAGGGAAAGTGATTAACTACAAAATGCTACCAAAATGGAAATTGAGTAACAATACTTCAAAAGCATACCAGGAGAAGTCTTGTAAATGTGAAACTAATGAAATGGTGGGGCAAGCTTGCCCACCTGTCGAACCAGGAGTTCTGGGCCACAGATGATCAGTACAGATGTGTCCCTATCAATCTGCAGTATGGTTCATGGAGTGACAGTTTTTGACTTCGCAATGTGAAAAATTTTGGGTCCTCTCACTAGCTGGGATTCTAAAGTGAGCTTATGTTAGGGATCACTAAATAGTTTGAGTCAGAAGAACCCTGGGGCTCAAGCCTCATCCCCTGAGTTTGCTTGCCTCTCTACCCTACCACAAGCTTACATGATGAGAACTTTAGACCACCCATATTATATCTGATTATGTTTGATTTTGAGTTCCTGAGATCATAAGAGTTTTGCTGATCCTTTTTTGTCCCTCCCTACTCTAGAAAAAATTGGGTCAAGATGTTCTGTGTTTTTTAAATATTTCAGGTGAGTTAAATTCACTTAACTGCCATCAAGTGAGTTCTGACTCATAGATACCCTATAAGATAAGGTAGAATTGGATTTCTGAGACTGCAACTCTGTAGGAAAGTAGAAAGCTTCATCTTTCTCTGGAGGAGCTGTTGGTGGTTTCAAACTTGTGCTTAGCAGCCCAATGTGTAACCACTGTACTACGACTCCCTGAGTTAAGTTAGGTGTCATTAAATAAAAATCTTTATATCTACATGTATGAAAATACTTAACATATATAATAGATTTTGCCCTTTTTAAAATTGGGGCTCTTACAGCTCTTATCACAATCCATACATATCCATTGTGTTGTCATCATTTTTAAAAAAACATTTGCTTTCTACTTGAACCCTTGGTATCAGCTCCTCAATTTTTCCCTCCCTCCCCCACTTTGACAATTTATAAATTATTTTTTTCATGCCTTACACGAACCGCTGTTGCCTTTCAAGCAGAAAAGAAGGTTTTGCCTTCTTAATAATTATTTTTATGATCAGAATAGAAAGAAAACAGCAGTAGAGGGTCATTGTTATGAGCAACATGGACTTAAGAGGTCAGGCAGACCTGAGTTCAGGTCTCATTTCCCAAAACTCACTTTCATCATGAGATTTAGCAAGATCTTCCCACTGTGGTTTCTTTTTGCAATAGAGACCATAACAGAACCTTCCTCATAAGGATGATGTGAGGGTTAAATGTACAAATACATGCAAAGCATAGTATTTATCACATATATATAGTGAGTAACGATAAAACTGTAATCACTAGGTGCATTCATTGGAAACATCTTTAGCCATGTAAATCAATGCACATTTTTGTCAACTCATCAGCAAATGGCCTTGTACGAGTTTTATTTTTTTTATCTGATTCTCTAGATTTCTGAGCTCCCTTCATGTGAAATTGCTATTTATTTAATAAATATTTACTATTTCCCTTTTCAATTAAATAGCATTCCATTGTGTGCATATGTATCATTTAGTCAGTCTTCTATTATTTATGTTGCCTCCGGTCTTTTTTCTATTACACTACCGCACCACCATTCATTTTTATAGTAATATATTTTCATGTGCCATGATTATTTAGTTTTAAAGTAAATAAGGAGCCATGGTAGCACTGCTTGATAAATGCTAGACTGCAAAGTAGAAGGTCAGCAGTTCAATAAAATGATTTTTGTTTAAAAGAAATTTTATTTGGATTTGAATATTGGTAAAAAAAATTTTTTTAAAAGAAGGTCAGCAGTTCAAACGCACCAGCTCTGCAGGAGAAGATGAAACTGTCTACTTCTGTAAAGATTTACAGTCTTGGAAACCCTCTATGGGGTCGCAGGAAGTTGGAATCGACAGGGTGACAGTGGGTTTGGTTTTGGTTTAAAAAAACACCAAAACTGCCATTGAGTCGTTGCGGACTCATAGGGATCCTATAGGACAGGGTAGACCTGTGGGTTTCCATGACTTTAATTCTTGACTGTAATAGAAAGCTTCCTAGTGGCTGGTGGTTTCAAACTCCTGCCTTTGCCGTGTAACAACTCAACAAGGCGCCCTGGTGGTGGTGTGAGTTAGGTATTGGACTACTAATCAAACCCACCAATTGGGTTTCTCTCCTTAAGAGAAAGATGAGACTGGTCATACAAAGATTCATTTCAGAAACATAGCAACTTTGAGACTAAGGTCAGAATTGATTCTATGACAGTGGGTTGAGTTTTAGGTGAGAAGTGGGATGACTTGATCTAAAGAATATGTATTAAAATTATTAGAATTCTGCACTATTATCAAATACCCTCTTAAAAATGTTAGTTTACAATCCTATCTACAATATTGGATGGTCTTTCTGTTTAGGTCTTTATCTCCAGATGTTAGAACACAAATTGGGACCAATGTAAAGATGAATTTTATTCTACAATACCGGTTTTCCACAGTTTACTTTGGTTGTGATATAGAAACATTAACTTTTTTTTATTGAAAAGGAAACAATCCCTTATGACCCTACTAAACTAAACAGATAACTGCTATTCTTATTTTGAAATATTTCAAAGTGTTGGTTTGTGTATGTGCATGTGTATTTTAGTGTTTAATGTTAAAGGTAGTGATCATATTGTGCCACTCAGATTTATTTTCTGATTTTCCATTGAACAACATTTCACAGCATTATACAACATTTTTGTGAAACGTTTTCATGGCTAATTTTCCATCAAATCATGCCTAAAATTTTGTTCATTATCTAATTATTTCTTCATAAATTCTGAAGAGGAGTTAATGGGCAAAAGATAGGAAGACTTAAAAAAAAACTTTGCCCTCTGTGTAGAAGTTGCGTTCTATGTATGAGCAATTCCACAAGCAATTTGTGAATATTCACATCTGCTAGTAATATTAGGGCATCTTTTCTTTAGAAAGGTGTAGCTTAAAGTGTTTTTTATATATTTATTTTAAGATCATTTATTGGGGTTAAAGTATTTTTTAAAAGAAAAATACTGGGAGGGGGGAGCGGGGAGGGAGGGGAAAAATGAGGACCTAATGTCGGGGGTTTAAATGGAGAGAAAATGTTTTGAGAAACGATGTACAAATGCGCTTTACACAATTGATGTGTGTATGGATTGGGATAACAGTTGTATGAGCCCCTAATAAAATGTTAAAAAAGAAAAAAAAAATACTATGGCAACAAATGTACAAATGTGCTTGACACAGTGGATGTATGTATGGATTGTGATGAGTTGTACGAGCCCCCAATAAAAGGATTTTTAAAAAATATTCTAGGAAGAAATATTTGGAATTTTAACATTAATGATAATCTCATTATGCATTTGCTTATTTTTGGATAGTTAACTAACTAACTGCCACCTAATCAATGCCAACTCATACAGACTCATCCAAGTTAAAAAATGTCCCTGGTAGGATAGTAGGTTATTCACTGGGCTGCTGACCACAGTGTCAGCTTTTCAAAAACACCAGCTGCTCTGCAGGAGAAAGATGAACTTTTACTGCCTTAAAGAGTTTAAAATCGTGGAAATCCACAGGTCTACCCTGTCCTATAGGATCACTTGCAAGGGAACTTCAGAAAGGTTGTGGAGAATTAGAATTAAAAGATAATGGAATTTTTCCTGTCTTATAGGATCACTTGCAAGGGAACTTCAGAAAGGTTGTGGAGAATTAGAATTAAAAGATAATGGAATTTTTCTACGAATTTATTGAAACCCCCTTGTATTGTATATCCCAATTCTTGTTTTCTACATTCCATTTCCAAAATGGTTTTAACTGATAACCGTTAGCATTTATGGTTATGCTAATGATTTGGAGCATTCCATATTTTTCTTTCAGGGGGAATCTCCTAACGGCTCCAATGATCGAGGAATGAAATCCCTAGTGAACAAAATGACTGTTGCTCTGAAGACAAAGTCTGTTAACGTCAGGGAAAAAGTTATCAGTTTTATTGAGAATACTTCGACTCCTGTGGACCGGTGAGTTGCTTATACAGTAAGAGTTTATGGTGATAATTAAAACTAAAGAAAAGTGTCTCGTAGTAAATTATTAAATTGAATATGTTCTAAAGAAGGATAATAAAATACATTTTTAAATCAAATGATTCTGTAGAATCCATTATAATTCTCCGTATGTGCTTTACTGCTGAAACATTTGGCATAGGAACCCTATCTTCTCTCACAGCTCAGAATAACAAGCACATACTGCTGCAGTGCCACTTATTAGAAAGATCATTTCAGCATCAGCTATACTACATTTCATAAAGCAACTGCTTCCCAATTGTCAAATGGATAGAGAATAATGTCATAGTAGGAACTTAGTCCTTTGCACCAGGAATTTAAAGCTAAGAAAATTTGGTCTTGTTAAATAAGTAAAACAGAAACCTACTTTCTCAAGATTGAGTTCACAAAAAAAAAAAAAAAAGATTGAGTTCACATCTTCATCGAATTATGTTCAGAGAATATAAGCAAACTCCATTTCTTTTTTTTTTAAAATCATTTTATTGGGGGCTCGTACAACTCAACACAATCCACACATACATTCATTCTATCAAGCATATTTGTACATTTGTTGCTGTCATCATTCTCAAAACATTTGCTTTCTACTTGGGTCCTTAGTATCAGCTCCTCATTTTTCCCCTCCCTCCTCGCCCCCTTCTCCCTCATGAACCCTTGATAATTTAGGAATTATTATTATTTTGTCATGTCTTATACTGTCTGATTTCTCCCTTCACCCACTTTTCTGTTGTCTGCCCCCCAGGGAGAGGGTTATATGTAGATCCTTGTGATTGGTTCTGCCCCACCTTCTCTCTACCCTCCCGGTGTCACCACACTTACCACTGGTCCTGATTCCGTGTTTCCAGTTCCTATCTGTACCAGTGTACATCCTCTGGTCTAGCCAGATTTGTAAGGTAGAATTGTGGTAATGTTGGTGGTGGGGGGAAGCATTAAAGAACTAGAGGAAAGCTGTATGTTTCATTATTGCTATACTGCACCCTGACTGGCTCATCTCCTCCCTGCAACCCTTCTGTAAGGGGATGTCCAGGCAAACCCCTTGTTCTAATGCACTACAAATGAAGGGCATAACTAACAACTAATAAGAAAGCTGAATAATTTATTATGTAAATTTGTTTCTGGAACTATATTGGAAATATTATATTTTTCTTCTTCCATGTTTTAGTCAAATTGACCTTTCTCCTAGAATTCAAAGCTAACTTTACAATTTCAAAGCAGAAACATTTATTTTTAACTAAACTGATCTTAGAAATGTGTCAATAATACTTTATCTCACTCATGTCTTAATTCTAGTATCCTGGAAAAGTTCAAATGAACTGAATGAATGTCAGGAATGTGGTGTTTGTCACTTTACTAAGTATGTTACGTGTACATTCAGAAGTATATGATTTTTCTGCTTAACAAGCAGCAAAATTTTGATAATAGATTGTTTTCACTAATCCATAAAAACATAACTTACCTAAATTGGTCAACTGATAAATAAATAACATTTATTCTTTACCAAGACTGAAAGATTTGCCTGCTTATTAAAATTATGACTGCAAAAGTCTAATCATTTTACCTTCATAGGTGTGTTCTGAATTAGAGTACTGCTATTGCTAATGTTTGTAGCATGTACATTAAATTTTTTATTTTAAAATGTATTCACTGTATTTTTAAAATATTCAGATGATAACTGAGTAATTAAACTATGGTGCAGCTTGAAGCTAGCTTTTCTACTTCACTTTTCTTTGACTTGAAATGATGGAAACACTTCTTTGCAATATTATAGATTCTGGGTTGGAAAAACTGATTATATTTTTGTTTCAAAGCTGTTTCATTTTGTATAATCATTTTATTCTGTCCTCTGCCTTGATTTACTATAGAATGTCTTTCAATCTTCCTTGGCCAGACAGAACATGTACAGAGCGGTAAGCCAATGAGTAGAGCAGCTCTATTGAACCACACTGTTTCTTTAGCATGCCTGACGCTGTCTTAAGACTTACATGGCCTTGCCTTCAGTTTCATGCAGCCTTTTCAAATACTACACTTTCCTCATTCTGCTTTTAGGTTTATGTGGTGGTGATGTTTTATCTGTTTATTCTTTTTTGGTTTTGCTTGTTCGTTTTAGTATTTCTTTTCTTGCATGATTCTTTTATCACCTCCCATTCCACAGGTGAAAATCAGATTCATTGGAATCTAAACATGTCCTAAAACACACAGTTTTTATTCCAAGGCAGGAAGGTGAAACAAAGAAAATATTCAGTGTCAGAATTGGCAGTCTTAACTCTAGGGATCATTTACTCCCATCTGCTACCCCTAAAAGTAAGGAAAATCTAAACACCTAAACATACGAGGGGTTACTCAAAAAGAACTGGAAATTTTTGCCACAAAGGTATTTAATTTTTTTACAAAACACCCTATCACCTTCAAAGTACTCTCCATTATCCGTATACTTAATACATTTGTCAAATCTGCGATTCCAAAAAAAAAATAAAATTTAAAAAAATCTGCGATTCCATTCTTGGAAACGTTTTTCAAACTCATCTGTTTGGGTGGCTGACAGCATCTCCCTCATTTTTTTTTTCTTCACCTCTTCTACGACATCAAATCTCTGTCCTTTCATGCCCCTCTTCATTCATACAAACAAAAAGAAGTTGCATGGAATGGGGTCAGGTGAGTACAGTGCTTGGGGCTAGAGAGGCATGCTGGTTTTTGCCAAAAATTGGTGCACTGAGATGGCTATGTGAGCAGCTGCATTGTGGCAAAACCAGTCCCGTCTGCCATGAATCGGGTCTTTTTTGTCACACGCTATTATGCAATTTTTTTAGAACTTTTAAGTAGAAAGCTCGATTAACAGTCTGACCTGGTGGAACCAACTCCAAATACATTATGAGTTGACATTTTCGTCTCTTTAGAAAGTTGATAGACCTCTAGAATAAGGTTTGTCATCAATCAACATTTCACCTTTTTTTGCAATGAGAAAACCACTCGTACACTAGAGATTTCCCATAGCTCTGTCCTTGTAAGCTGTGTTCAACATCACAGTTTCTGCAGCTTTTTTCCCAAGCAGGAAACAGAACTTCACAGTCACACACTGTTTTTTAAAAATCAGCTATCACACAAAACAATGTTCAAGTGAAACTGCTTTTATGAAAAAATTCACTGTGACCATAGAGAACCTTACCAGACAATACCACTGGGTGCACTAACTCAGAGCTATGTTTGCTTAGCAAGAAAAGCTTTGCTCTACCCAGCAAAATTCCGGGTTTATTTGGTACCCCCTCGTAGATAAAGTTCATTGTTCAAAATTTTAATTTAGCATCTTACAGAATTTTATGATACTTTAAAGTTTGTTTTCCCTAAGAATGGAATCTGTATTTAAGTAAACAATTTTTCTCAGGTCATTTGCTTATTGTATTTAGATGTGACATTTTAAAAAAAAGTTTCTCCTTTAATACCCTGCTTAATAAAAATTTCTTCATTTAGTATAACTTCTGTAAAATGAGTAATGAAATGTCTAATATAATTTACCTAAAACTTTAAAAAGAAATAGCTTCTTTTAAAATTATAATGTATTGTAAATCACCATTCTACTTTTATATGTGGAACCATTGCAATAATCTAATTTTAGTTTTCCTCCAAGTTCTTCGTTGTTATTTTTTTAATAGCCAGATATATTTATTTTAAAGATATAATTTATATAAAAGTTAAATTAGTTGATTTCTTTTGAAATAAAGATATTAAAACCTACTCATTATTTTATATATTGTTTTGTAATGTTTTGGCTAAATAATGTTACCTTTTTAAAAAAGTCCAGACATTACATTTCATTCATTTTTAGCCAAGACTTCAGAAACAAATCTTTAATCTTTAGCATTCTTTATGAAAACTTTGCATTTTATAGTAAGTTCAGATCCAAATTCAAATAATGAATAACTGTTTTGGATTGTTTCTTTATTCATACTTTCCGGTTCAAGCGTTTAATATAAACATTATCTTTTATTCTTAATATTATTATAGCAGTTTAATTATTTTACTATTATGAAAGAACTAATATTTGATCTTACGGAATTTCATAGTCTAGATGACACATAAGCTTTTTATTTTTCAGACTTGAATATTTTTTATTTTATGTACAAGTAGTTGGCATTGTTTCTTCTTTTGGATAGTGGTCTTGGATTGTCCATCCAAAGATAACTTAGTCCCGCTTGATGAAGCCGATATCCTTTGCGTCCTGATAGAAACACTGACGGCACATATTGAGGCCGTATTACCGGATCAAACCGTGCCGGTGTGAGCACACATGGCAAGAACGGGAACCCTGGCGGAATTTTCGCGGGTGGCTCCCGTAGAGCTGCTGGTGACCCATTTTGTTTCCAGGCTCTCTCCAAGGCAAAAGGCAGCACATAAGCATTTTTTAGATAAAATTTTACCTTGGTCTTTGTCTTTTATGAAAAAGCTGTATTTGAGTGCAAAGAGTGTTGAGTTTTTCTTGAATTTTCTTTTTTCTATGGCTATCATTTGATAATTTGTATGTTAATATTACACTAAGATATTTTAACAAAATGAAATTATTTCTTGATTTTTAATTTAGGCTTTAGGCTCTGTATTGATTAGCTTAACTTGTAATTCCCAAGCAGTATTTTTTATATACTATTACTTGGTTTTCTATTTAGGTGAAGTAAAAATAAGGTCTATTTTTGACAAAAGTAATGTCACTGTAGGATTTATCTTAATGGTAATTAGAAACAATTCCTCAAATGACCTCCTTTGGAAAAATTGAACTCTCAAAGACATGAAACTTGGATCCCCACCCCCCCATTGGAGTATCTGTTGATCTGTTGAAATATAAGATTCTTAGTATCTTCTTATGTGACATATCTTCCTTGTTAGTAGATAATCTAAACTGAACCTTATCCTAAAAAGAACGCAGTGCTCTTCTCTAAAATGTGGTATTTCTTTTCACTTCTTGGCATATTAGGGATTATAATAGGTATAAACTAATATGGAGAGGTCACATAGTAGAACTAATCAACTTTATTTACTTGTTTATGCTTTTGCCATTTAAGAATAAGGGCAAATTCATTTTCATGGTTTACTTCTTTTATACAAAAGAAATAGTTTCAATTAAAACAAAAGTATTAGAATATTCAAAAATTGAAAGAAAAACTTTGACTTTTATACTGATATTAGAAGTGTTAAATACTAGAATTTGAATATTTGATTCCATACTCCTTTTTGTCTAACAGATATACAGCACTTGCTGTATATCAGGCATTGTTCTAAGACCGTCATAAATATTAACGAATATTTTTTACAGTGTCCCCAAGGGATAGATATTCTTGTCCTCGTTTTACATATGAGGAAACAGAAGCATTGAGAAGTTAAATAACTTTTCTTAAAACCACATGAATAAGCATTTATTGAGATTAATATGAATATTGGAATCGTTTAAAACTTAACTTTTACTGATTTGAGACCATTCCATTGGTCCTTATGGACACTTTTGCTCACGTGATTTCTGTACCTTCTTTCAATTTCCTTAACATAGTTATTTGATAACTATAGGTGGTTAAACTGTGGCAAAGAAATATGCATTTGTTTGAATGTAATCATGCTTGATAGAAATCTTGGCTAAGTGGTGCTCTTCCCTCCTAATATTCTTTAAAACACAGGCATGTGAGCAGCAGTGACAGAGTGGGCAAGCCTTACCGTGGCGTGAAGCCTGTTTTCAGCATTGGAGATGAAGAAGAATACGACACAGGTATGTGACGTACCTACAGATTGCCTTTCTTCAAGGATGACGACAGGTCTTCTGAAACTAGCCTAAAAACGGCTTTAAAACAGAGACAGGGAGATTATGTAGAGGAGGAAGAATTAGATTGTGTGTAGCATCTATTTTGAGTTTGGTTTTAGCCATACTAGATTTTTGAGAGGTTTATGAAAAATCTAAAGGTCTCTAGGTGATACAGTGTGCATCCAAAACAGCCCTGGTTACAAAGTGGTTACAAATTTGGCTGTAACCACAAGGTCAGCAGTTCAAAACCACCACCTTTCAATAGGGCTTTTCTGTAAAGAGCTGCAGTCTTTGAAACCCACAGGGCAGTTTTACCCTGTTCTGTAAGGTCACTGTGAGTTGGTATCACTCCCTGGCAGTGATTTCTTTTACTAACCAGAAAATTCGTGTTGAACCAGGTAGGGGTGCCATACAAGGTAGGAAGGCCTGGCTGTCTGTTTAGATAAAACCCTGTGGAACTCAGTTCTACTCTGTAGCACATATGATCACCTTGAGTTGGAATCACAGGGTTTAGCTTTTGGGTTGATTTGAAATCCACGCAGAAATAGTAGTCTTCAGCTGAGGAAGGAAGTCTGAACTAGAGATTTAGGAACTTTTGATGTAGGGTTAGTACTTAAAACCATGGGGTTGGGTTGAACACTAGTTTTACAGACATTTCTTAAGTACCTCTCTACGGACCCTTGTCAGATTGACACATGAAGGAAACTATACATTTTCTTTTAAAAATAACTTACTTTATTAAAAAACAACATAATTGTACGCTATTATAAATGAAAGTGTGGTACTATAGATTTATATAAAATTTAATAGCATTTAACGTGGTACAACATTTGAGATACTGCGTTCGACGCATCGTAAGGGTCACTTGAGTCAGTCAGTGTGACAGTCTGCTGCAGTGTTTGTCTTTACATTGGATGTTGACTTTCTCAGAACTTTTTGACTGTGTTTATATTTATTACTGAAGTAATGCTTTCATGAACGAAACTGATTTACCAGGATTAGTACTCAATTTACGTTCACGTCAAATTAACCTGTATCCACAGAGATAGGTATACTACACAGACAATGTCTAAATTAGAAGGTTTAGAAGAAAATGAATTTGGATATTTGTTTCGTTAAATGGATGTGAGCATAAACAGAAGTAAATGTGAATGGTTTCTATCATTTTGGGGGAGGAAATCGAAATGCATCAAAATTACGTGTCCTGTAAACCTAGTGTTAAATTGTCTTGATCACCCACCGAGGGATCTAAGAATTGAAGAACCAAAGTGCAAAAACTTCCAAAATTGAGACATCTTTAAAAAGCCGTTTCAGGCTCACTCAAGGCACTATCCTAAAGGGCCACAAGGTGGAGATATTGTGCTAGGATAATCTCTGTGTGATTTACCTTTTTAAAAATATTATGTTGGTTCATAATCTTACCTCGCAGTCACCTTTGTGATTAGTTATAATATTATTGATTACTGTATACATTGAGTGAAGGGGAAAAAAATCTCCTTGGTTTATCAACTTAATGCTCAATGTTTGCATGTTTTCCGTTTCAACCCACTGTCTGTCTTAATATGATACCATAAAATATTTAACCAGTCTCCTTCCACCAACACTAGTAGTGTTTCAGGCTTTTTTTTGTCTAACAAATGGTAATGGATATTTGCATACATATTTCTTGACAAACTTTTCCAAGTGCATCCTCGGGGTAAATTCTTAACTGTGCAATTGCTAGGTTAGAAGATACAACATTTGTTGTTTTGTAGATTTAAAATTACCTGCCAGAAAACAAGATATTAATTTAGTATTTCTACTGATTTTTTTTTCTTTCTCTGTTGCCACCTTTCTATTAGCTATCAGTTTCTATCCATGACTAAACTATTGTGTTGCTTTTCCTCTTAATTACCGTAAGTATACAGGCCAGCCTTTTAGCAAAGGGAAGAGAGGGATGGATAAATTAACTGTACTATACTTGCACTGTGGAAAATTGCACAATAGTGAAAATGAAAAAACTATAGCTATGTGTATTAAAATAAAAAGTATATGGAATTAGTAGCTCAAAATTCAGCTCGTCATTGCTTTTTTTTTTTTTTTTCCTTCCAATCGGTGGCCCATCAGAACAAGTATGGTCCCCAGGTTGTATAGGGGAAAGGGCCTCATCATCATCTCGTCATTGCTTTTTGGTGGGGCTGGGAGGAGAATGTGACTGGGGAGAGATTCAAGATGGCTTCAGTTTTATTTCTTAAACTGAAGGATAGATACATGGGATTTTGCTTTTGTCTCTGTATTTTGAAGTATTTATTAAAAAACAAAGGGAAGAAATTTTGAGGTTGTTAGTTCTAGGAACTATACCTGTTCTTTAATTAGAAGGCTTTACATTCCTTTCAAAAAAAAA